TGGAACTTGCTTGAGTGGGGTTTTTGTATCCTGGAGTTGATATGGTGGAATATAATCATCATCTTCTAAAAAGAATAGAAAAAACTCAGCTAGGTTATCAATTTATATTAAATACTGATCACTTACGTGTAGTTTCCTCTGTTAAACTTTTATTCAAATTTTCAATGGCATTTGTGACATTATTTTGGGAGTTGAAAGTATCTTCTTCATCGTCAGAATCTTCAGTGAAGCCCTTAACTATTCTTTTCAATGTTTTGTTGACAGGGACTTCCTCAAGATTTTCTGCAACATTTGATGATGAAGAATCCTCATCTCCTTCTTCGTCTATTTCTTCTTCATTTTCTCCTTTATCCTTGATATCATTTTCTTCATCATCAAATTCTACTTCCCTATCACTCTCTTCTGCTTCATCATCAATGAATGCTAACTTTTTCTTTTCAGTTGATTGTTCTTCATTTCCTTCATCTTCTTCCTCTTCTTCTTCACTGGACTCTGACATTTCTTCTTCTTCATCCTCATCTAGAATACCATCATCATCACCACCACATTCTGACTTCTCCCCTTCATATGGATCTTTTTCCTGTATGTCATTTGAAACAGCTTTTTTCTTCCAAATTTCGGATCTATGCTGTTTTATCTGATCTTGAAGCTCACTTTTAAGCTTCATCAGCATTGCCCCAGGCTTTGCTTCTTTTTCTGTAGGATCATCTTCATCGTCTACATTCATGGCTAGAGTTTCTTTATGGATCTGCCCACTTTCTACACTAACAACGTTGACTTTCACCCTGTGTTTGTGGTGATGCTTGGTGTTGTGTTGTAGGAATCTCTCAATGAGCTCTCTTACCTGGTTGGGTCGGGTTATGCTTGTGTCTAAGTCAATGACATGATCTGGATCTCCACTGAGTCTTGGTTTGATATTGGCTAGCCTTTCTTTGATCAGTTCTAATTTGGATAAGTTGGGTTTCTCAACTACTTTTATATCTTCAGTGTTGCCGAAATTTTCTATTTCTTTATCTAGCTCTGAGTAATCAAATGGCTTCTTCGTATTCAGTGGGTTGTTAATGTTGGTAAGTTCTTCAAAACATTGGTTTTCATCTGGCTGGTGTCTCTCCTCTTTCTTATTAGGTGATTCTTCAAGATTTTCAGATTCTGTTTCCTGGAGTTTTTCAGTTTGATCAATATTTTCTATGGATTTGAGTATTCTTTCTGAATTGTCTTCAACATCATCCAAATTGAATTCATATTCCATGGAGTGCTGATTTTCCAGATTAACTCCATTTTTTTCACCTCTACATTCAGAAATTATCTCTTCTTGCTCAGATTCCTTCTCTTCAATATTGATAGTGTCAGTACTCCCCACTTCCTTATATTCTTGTTCTTTTGATTTTTCCTGATTATTTTCAGATTTACCATGGTCAGTTGGGCTATCTTCAACAATTTCCTGGCTATCAATTCCTGAATCTTCAACTTTTTCCTCCATTTCAGTATCTTGAGTGGGTTTTGAGGTAGATTTAGAGGCATCATCAACAAGATCTGACACTGTATTTTGATTATGTGAAACATTTTCATATGTTGTATCATTTGGAGGAACATAATCTGTATCATCTTTGTCATCATCATTATCTTCTGGTTCACTTTCAGATTTATAAAATTCCTGAACCTCTTTTTTTCTTTCTTCAAGTTTCTTCCTAGTATTCATTAGAATAAATATATCACAATATTCAAGTAGTGGTATGATTTGCAGAAACAAAAAAGATACATAGGTAGGAATGAGTCCTTTTCATGGTCTTTTTCATAAGTTGTAGGTACAGGGTGACATACCAAAAATTCATTTTTGAAAATGGATTACATATGTGATACGAAATTATACTTCTCCTTCACTATAATGATCATGAAATAAACCATGGAATAGACTATAGACCAAACTCAAATTTTGCAAGAAAATATTTTTCATTGTTATATATATGTTAGAAATCTTAATGTCACTTACAGAATGTCTTTTAGTTGATCTCTAGACATCTTCATTGCTATAGATGGAGGCATTTTACTAGCAGTTGGAACAGTAGATGCAAGCTTTGGTCTTCTTGACAGAAACTCCTTCAATGTGAATTGTTTAGGTCTGTGATATGGAAGGGATACATCCATTTCACGTACCATACGTTGGGATTCAGACTGGATTTCTTTCCTCAATTTGGCAGCATCTTTACTAGTCATCTAGAAATGTCAGGAAATGAAAAGACAATGATAAATAAGTATTGTGATTTTTACTAGAACTAAGCTCCACCTTTTTCTCTGAATCTCCACCTTTTGGTTTGTGCTTTTTCTTGTAAGGTATTGGTTCAAGTATTTCTTCTTCCAAAAAAGGCACATTACCATTATCAGTAGGGTTTTCAGGTTCCTGATTCACCTCATCATCAGAGCTTTCAGAGTCACATAAATCTGTCCACAATGATTTCTACAAAAAATATCATCCATCACTTATGTGCTTAAAATAAATTCATAAGATTCATACTAGGATTCATAAGAAATCTGACTAACCTTTGTTTTGGGATTTTCAACTATCAACTTGCCCTTATAATCAGTTGTATAAATGGGAGCATTGTCATTTTCAGTTTCATCTGCAAAACTTTTGTTATGAGTAGTAATATCATCATATTCAGAATCACTATCAACTATTAATTTATGTTTTTTCTTGTTTTTATCAAAACTTTCTACATCTTCATTTGGTAAAACTGTTGAACTACCATCTTCAGAATCTGTATCAATGAACTTGTTTTGATTCAGTTGTTCATCATGAGAAGGTGGTGAAATATCATTCACAGAAGGGGATGAGCCTAATTCATCTTCAGATTCACTATCCACTATTGCAATACGCTTCCTTTTCATCTTATCAACTTTGAAATTATCACTACCAGATAGAGTATTTTCGGATTGTTTGATGATAATACAAGTATTGTTGGTTTCACTATCTTTAGTCCCTACTTCATTTGGTGATACTGTGGGGTGGTTTTCAGCTTGTTCAGAGATGATAGGTACTGAAATATCTTTTGCAAGTGAAGTTGAAACTATTTCCTCTTCAGAATCACTATCCATTATAGCAATATGTTTTTTCCGGAACTTTTTAATTTTCATATTATTATCATTAGTTTTATTCAATGATGCTATATCATCATCATCATCATCATCATCTTTGGAAGTTTTGCTTGTTTTTCTCATATTAGTAGGATCATCTTGAAGTGAAGGCACTGTAAAATCATCACATAATGTATCTACATTTGTCACTGGTTTGTCCTGTTCACAATTTTCATTTTCTGGAAATGGTTTTTTATGTGCCTTTCCTATTTCTTTCAATGATTCGGATAATGCATTCTGTAATTTTGTTTCCATTCTAAATATTCATAAAACCTAGAAAAATACACTTATTCCACTTATTTGTGAGACTGTGAAAAAACTCTTGAAATGCTGTAAACACTAAACAGAGTTGTAAACTACTTAAAGCAGTGAAAGCTTTGAAAACCAAGCATGGAAAACTGCAACACACCACCCCTTGACAAACCTTGGTGACGAGACAACCACCATTTCCAACAACGGGGGGTTTGTTGGTTTGGGGGTTTGAGTGGTTGACAACTAAATAACCTGAAATAAATGTTTCCCGTTCCCGCGTTTTTGTGAAAATATGCAAGAGACCCTTTCTTTTGTACGAAAAGTGTAGGACAGTCGTACACTTCGTGTAATTTACACCGCATTTGAGCATTCTTTTGAAAAGTGCATTTCACACGAGTGTAGATTGGGTTCTTCCGTCTGCTTTTCAATGTCGTGTAAAATGCACTACACTATGAAACAGTTGATAATTCGTGCAGCTACACCGACGAATTTCAAACGAATGAAGGAAATTTGATTGAAGAGAAAAAGTGCAAAAGTGAAAAGAGTTAATTTTGAAATGTGGTATTTGATTTGACTGATTTCCCAGTACAGGTGTTGAATCTGATAAAAATATAATCACATATGTATTTCGAGTCATTTATCGCGATTTTATTGATTATTTAATTCGAGTGTAATTCACTCCTGCCCTAGACCAGGTGGAGATAAACTACAGTAGTGTGAAATGCACTTTCCGAAAGAATGCTCAAGCCCAAATAAGGTGTAAACCACACGAAGTGTATGAATCAGCTGATATTTTTTGCAGCTACAAATGCTACACCAACGACTTTGAAATCGTTCAGAAAGCAGTTGTTTGATTTCATTCTGAATAATGACATGATTTGACAATTTTGTGTTGTAATAGGGATGTGTTTTATGTGTATTATTTCGTGACATATTTTTTTTATGTGCTTATCTATTTCTTGTCATGTTCTAGAGCAATCATTCAATGTCTTATTGAGTCAATGTATTACTTTTAAAAACGGTATGATACATCATTGGATTATGGGATCCTGTACAAGCCTCTGTTTTGTGGATCTGATTATGTGAAATAAAAAAAATAAATAAAATAAAAACGAACGAAGAAGATTGAAAAGTTCAAATTCAATTTTTCGATTGCGTATTTGATATAACTGGTCTCCCAGTATAGGTGTTTATCTATTATAAATGTTTTTCGAGTCATTTGACGCGATTCTATCCACGCTTGAATTTGAGTGTGATTCACACCTGCCCAAGACCCACAAGACCAAGGTGAAGATAAACTACACCAGTGTAAAATGCACTTCTCAAATGGTGTAAATTACACGAAGTGTACGAATTTGCTGCACTTTTCGTACAAAAGAAAGGGCCTTTACTGTCTTCTGTCATTAATGTCATTATGTTTGTTCTGTGTTTGTCTCATGTCCATGTCTATGATTTTCAATTTTCACAATATTTACAATAGTGGGGAGTTTCTGGAGGTAATACGAATTTCATAATTTCAAATATTTATCAGGTTGTTAATATTTTATCAGTATTTATATTGATATTTGATGATATATAAAATAACCTGTTCGCTTATGTATGAAGTTCAGTATCCCCGGGTATTATGTGTAGTAGTGTGATTTGGATATGACCCGATATGACCACATCTGATAAAAACTATTGGAAATTGAAACAGTAAAGAGAAAGGAGAAATAATGAATATCGATTCAGAGGAACATGAGGATCTTCTGGAATTTAGAAAACAAGAATCTAGTAATTTTTTGTGGATATCTAAACCATGGGCGCCTCAAGTTGCTTTTGACCAAGGTTCAAGCAAACCTACACCAAACTCACACAAGAAAGCAGTTTTACATTGTCCCAGGATACAGGAATTATTAACTGAAGTAAACCTAATTTATTATTTATTTTTATCACAATGATAGAGCTAAATATATTTAGACTATACAAGCACATCACACTGTTTCCCAACAAAGATTTTCAAGAACATATCAATTAAAGTTATAAATATACATCTCTCCTGTTACAATAAGAAGATAATTTCCTGTCTGTAATGCTGGCGAGAATACTGGTTTATAGTCAAATCAGAGTATTGAAAATATAATGTACACATCATATTGTTCTAAAATGTCTCCTTGAGAATGATTTGAGTGATCATCATTCATCAGGAACACAAATTTGCATAAGTAGATATGGGATTGTTGGGAATATGCAAACAAATATACTTCAACTGAATTGAAGATATTGCCAAAATGCTTTCAACATGTCTCATCATCCTCTCTCATATTTTTCACATTATAACTTTCTTTTATTATCATTAGTATTTTTTTATATGAATTCATGTATCCTCTCGTGCGCTCCAAGTAATAAAAATATATTCATTAAATTATATGTATCTTGTTGTAATACGTGGTGGGAAATAAAACTATTATTATTATTATTATTATTATATATATATATATTTGAATTTTTCAAGAGGATAGGGTCTTCATCAAATGCAATATCTTATTTCCACCTTTCCTGGTCTATAAATTGACAAGAAAAATTACTTAGGTATATGAAAAACAAAAGAAGGTATGATATTTTTCTAGATGGATTGGGTTTATGTGGGAATGATATTATTCTGCAAATACTCACTGAATTATTTTACAAGAAATCTGAGCTCATTTGAATAAACGCCTCCAGAGAAACCCATATATTTCAATAAAAACATGTAATATTGGACCATGAAATTCAGGGGTAGAGAACACTAAACTTGTTATTATTGCAGTATGGCATGCATAAAGTAATCACAAAAAATAGTCCATATATGTATATTATTGCTAGTATTTATAGTGAGTATATTATTTGTTTTTAAAATTCTTGCAGTTGAGTACAAAGCAAAATATACCAAAATCTCAATTGGAAAACCAAGTGAAAAAAATATTGGATGAAATAGGCTATGATAGAAAACTGAAACTGATAAGATGGTTGGGTTTAGTATTAACAAAAATCTGTCTCAAGGTCCTGTCAGGTATTTATGTCAATCCAGCCAAACTGGAACAGGTGAGTTTCCACAATAAAATATTTCTTCCTGCTCATTATATTGAATCATATCATAAACAACATCAAGACCTCTAATATTTGGGTAGCCATATAATTGGGCAGGAAACCAAAAATACCAAATATCTCTATAGTCTATAGTCAATCCAATATTGGTTTGAAAAAAAAATGCATTTTTCTGAAATCTCTCACTAGTATTTTTGATCATCTAGTCCATGTCTAACTCTAGAGTCTAGACCGTCAACATCGGTCCCTACCCGATTTTTACATACATTTTAGACAGTAAATAGGTAAAATGTTGATAGCAATTTCAGAAAAAAATTGGAATGTGTACCTATTAGTAAAAGCACATTCCCAGACTTCATGCTTGTTGACCTTCACATTATCGTCTAGAAATGTATTGATTTTACTACCACATACACAATGGTATTATTCTTGAAATGATAATGATTCATTGCAATATTCTTTGAATAATTCTGCCTATAGAATAAGAAATTGTTTTCTAGTTATTTTCTCTGTTTATTTGAGAACTAATTATAAAATAAATAATGAGACTGTGCCCATTTCCTTCTAGGAAAGATAATGATATATGTACTTATTTATCAGCATAAGTCTTCCATTAGATATAGATTAATGATTAATGTTGTCAGAATTCCAAAATGAACACCTTCATATACAGCATGTCCCAAATTTGATCTTTGCCAATAGGATCTTGATAACTAATATACAGGGTGATCCACGGTGGATGGCCTATTAGAAGTATCTGGAGAACGAAAAGACAGAACATCCTGAAAATTGGGTTCCTTCGATAATTGAACATTCTCTATATGTCTAAAATATTTTCATCGATACAGTATTGCCACTTCTATCAGAAACAACTAGCAGCTTTGTTATTTCAAATGGAACACCCTGAATTTTATTGCATTTTTAGATTCTTTCTGAAGAACTGATTTCATCAATGTACCACACTTGGGGTCTAGCAGGAATGATTACAGAGATATAGGGTGTTCAAAATCGAGATTTTACAACTTTAGGATTTTTTTGAGTCGAAACTATTCATTATTGGTCAAAACGGCTTTTATGTCCCTATCTCAACTTTTGATTGACTATCTACTGGAATTTGATTGGAAAAAATACAGGGTGCTTCAAGATTCAGAATTCTCATCACCCAGTATCTGTTCCAATTCAATGTCAGTAGATAGTGAATCGAAAGTTAAGATAGGGACATGTAAGCCGTTTTGATCAATAATAAATACTTTCGACACAAAAAAATCCTGAAATTGAAAAATCTCGATTTTGAACACCCTATATCTCTGTAATCATTCCTGCTAGACCGAAAGTGTGATCCATTGATGAAATCAGCTTTTCAAGGAGAATCTAAAAATTCAATAAAATACAGGGTGCTCAATTTAAAATAACGAAGTTGCTAGTTGTTTCTGATAGAAGTGGCAACACTGTATCGATGAAAATATTTTACACGGATAGAGAATGTTCAATTATCAAAGCATCCCAATTTTCAGAATGTTCTGTCTTTTCTTTCTCCAGATACTTCTAATAGGCCATCCACCGTGGATCAGCCTATATAGTGCATGCATGTGCATGCATTACTCTGGCTGTTATTTCCAGGACTAAAAATGAAAAAATTCCCATGAACATGTGTTGAAAAATGCTTCCCGTTGATTGTGCCCCATGGTTTCAATTTAATGTATCAAAAAAGTTTGAAGACAGCAATATAAAATTTTGAGAATGGGCTATGCTATACAGAATATACAGCATGTCTCACTTTAAACGCCCCCACCCCCTCTATATCTCAGCTATTAAATGTGTGTGTGATTCATACCAAATTTGGACCCTTATGACAGTGCAATTAAAATCATTTTATAGAAATAACATGAAAATTTGAAATCATGAAGAATAATATTATGAGGTTAGTTTTCTTGTAA